TATATATATATATATATTTTGGTAGGAAAAAAAAGGCATTTTGTAATTTATTAATATTTTGAAGTGTAGAAGTTATAAAACAATTACAGGGTATGTAAAAACTTTTTTACAAATAATAATGTTTATTTAAATTAATAAAGTGAAATTACTAAGAAATAGATATATGGTTACTATAATAAATGAAAAATAAAACTTCTTAAAAAATGTGTATTTATATATTATTATAAATTCCCTAAAAAAATATATATTATTATAAATTTATATTATTTTGGAAAAACTTGTTTTTAAATAGTGTACACTAAAAAAACTTAGTTGAGTCTTTAAAATATATTGAGTAGATTAAATATATTTAGTTATTTATTTATTGTGACACGTAAAATTTAATCTAAAACATTTATGTCTTGAAAATAAAATATAGTTTTTAATTATTAGATGAAATTTATTTTCAAAACATATCAAAACTTTAATAATAAAGAAATATCAAAAAACAACTTTACTGAAATTTTAAATTCATTTGAAGGATGTTAATTACTTTAACCACTAAATGTTTGTTTATTTAAAAGTTGTATAAAACTGATCTTTTAACAAAATATTAGTGTATGGTGTAAAAAAGAAAAAAGAAAAACCAAAATATTAGTGTAGTTTGTTAAAAAGTTGTATATTATATGCAGGTAAGGGGGTTTAAAATTGAGCCTATTTAAATAAAAAATTTATAAATTGATAAAAAAAATTAATTCAAAAATTCATAAATGACTGGTTTAGTTTGATTTTTAAATATTTAAAATTGTGTAATTTGTTTAAATTTTCACGTTGAAATGTGAAATCACTCCAAATCAAGTTGAACTACATTTATTTGTAACTTTTTAAAAATATATATTGCATGTATGTAAATTTGACATATAATATAAAAAATAATTTATAAAATTGTAAACTATTAAAAAGTGTTTTTTTTTCCTAAATATATGTTATAATATTTATTTTTTTTTATAAAATTATAAGTTATTATACTAAATTTTAGAATTAAAAGTTATGAATTTTTTATCATATTTTAAATATTTTTTAAATAACAAACATATATTTAAGAAAAATATTTAATATAATAGCTAAAATTATATTAGAAAAATATTTTTAAAATAATAAGATAGAATTAGTGTTAAATATGTTAAATAATAAAAGATATTTTAATATTTATCTATTTTTTAGTTTTATTTTTTAGATAATCTTAAACAAATAATAC